CCAGCGACCGAAAGCCGTCGGGAGGCAGGTCAGTGGCCATGTAAGCAAAGACTTTCACGGGTACCCGAGAGAGTTGAAAGCAGGGTCCCAAAGAGATCTCTGTCTAGCCCTGTTCACAAGAGTGGTATTCGCAGCAGCCAAAATGTGCAAGCGACCTGACAGCCGGATGGAGAAACAGAATGTAGTACACACACGCAGCAGGATATTAACCAGCCTTAAAAGGGAAGGGCATCCTAACACCTGCTCCAACGTGCATGAACCCCAAAGACGCGTCAGCTGAGATCAGCCAGACGCGAGAGGACAAATGCTCTAGGTTTCCACTTAGACAAGGTGGTCAGACTCATAGAGCCAGTAGGAGGGAGCTTGGGGTGGGGGATGCACAGGACGGGGAGCTGTTTAATGGGGACAAAGTTTCTGTTTTGCAAGATGGAAAGAGCTCTTGAGATTGGTTGCACAACAATATGAATGTACTTAATCCTGGAATATACATAAAGTCTTTGTGGTGCCTGGGTGGCTCAGCGGGTTAAAGCCTCTGCCTTCAGCTCAGGTCATGATCCCAGGGTCCTGGGATCGAGCCCTGCATTGGGCTCTCTGCTCAGCAGGGAGCCTGCTTCTGCCTCTCTCTCTGCCTACCTGTGATCCCTGTCTGTCAAATAAGTGAATAAAATCTTAAAAAAAATACTGGAATATACACTTCAAAATGGTTAAGATGGTGAATTTTAGGCTATGTGCATTTTATCATGGAATTTTGTTTTTAATTAAAAAGAACATTCAGGGACGCCTGGGTGGCTCACTTGATTAAGCGCCCAACTCTTGATCTCTGCTCGGGTGTCAGTCTAAGAGTCATGAGTTCAAGCCCTGCATTGAGCTCCATGCCCAGTGTGGAGCCTACTTAAAACAAAGCAGATCAAAAAAAAGAACATTCAGATAGTCTGAGCTGCTCTGAGATGGGATGGGTGGCTTCAAGAGGCAGTGTGGGTAAGTGTGTGTGTGTGTGTGTGTGTGTGTGTGTGTGTGTGTTACTTCCTGTCTTCTTTCTTCACTCCATCCCTACTCTCTGTCCCTCTTCCGACTGTGAATTCCTTGCTGACTTGGAAGTCATCTCCTCTTCATCTTTATACTCCCCAAAGGCAAGAATGAGTGTTCAAAGAAATGCGCCATGATAGTAAGTTCCCCATGGCAAGGTCGCCAGCCACCAGTGGTCACGGTCAGCTCTTGGCGGTACTGCTGGGACTGGGCTGTGCACCATTGTTCTGGGCCAGCCTCCACTTGCCGTGTTGGGCAGGCAAGAATAACCTTTACCGGAAGCGCGTTGAGGCTGGCTGGCCCTCCCCTGCCCATCCCTACGGGGCTGGCATCGGCAGGCCACACCCAGTGTGTGCTTGCTTCCACTTCCCATCACTAACGTTTCCCAAGAAACACATCAGAGCTAATTTCTCAGGGAAGAGTGTATTGTACAGGGACCTCTGGTTATGCCTCGAAGACCAAGACCAAGTCCCCTCAACCGACCTCATCACGCGCTCTGGTCACCTGCCTGTGGGACTTCGTCAGAGGTTACCCTGGATTGGACGTTGGTTCACATGGTTCAAGTGATGTTTCTTGGTCACCTGTAGGATCGCTGTTATGCTAAGGATGAGCTGGATGGATAATCTCTCATCTCACAGCAGTCCTGAGGGCCAAGATACCATTATGCAGATGGGTAAACTGAGGCTCAGAGAGCCTCACAATCCACCCAAAGGCATATCATTATTAAATGACACAACTGGGATTTGAGCCCTTTTCTCTATTATGCTGTTTGTACTCTACTATGCCAACTGCTATATAGACTTTAAACTGAAGATTATAACAACCCAGCAACTTGACATTCGACTTAATTCGGAAAATACCCCGTGTTTGTCCTGTGCTCAGCTTGGAGAGCTGTAAGCTCGGGAGAAGTGTTACTCTTGCTGGGGAGGACTAATTAATACTAATGGGTTAATAACTAGTAGACAGCATGGTATGCAGCATCTGTCCGATGATAATAGAAATGGTAACAGCCAGTGTTTACCGAGAACTTACTAAGTGCCAGGCACTTTGGAATGACTTTAAAGTATCTCCCAGTAAACTTGCTTTGCACACGAGGAAACCACTGCTTAGAAAGGTCAAGACAACCACCCCGAACCACAGAGCTGGTAGGCCAGGGTTTAGGCTATCTCTCTTTCAAAACTCATGCTTCTGACTACCATAGTGCCCACCTTCTCCAATCGCACATTTTATAGCAACATCCACCCCCCAGCACTATGCTTTTACACATCTGGCTAACTGTTTGGTGTGTTTAAAACTTACTTCTCGGGGCACCTAGGTGGCTCAGTGGGTTAAAGCCTCTGCCTTTGGCTCAGTTCATGATCTCAGGGTCCTGGGATCGAGCCCCACATCGGGCTCTCTGCTTGGCAGGGAGCCTGCTTCCTCCTCTCTCTCTCTGCCTGCCTCTCTGCCTACTTGTGATTTCTCTCTGTCAAATAAATAAATAAAATCTTTAAAATAAATAAATAAGTAAAACTTACTTCTCCAGTGACATTTCCGGCACCTCGAGTGCAGAGTGCATGTCTAGGTGGCTGCTGATGGAGCACTGGGTGTGCTGGGGTGCTGGGTGAAGGGCTGGTGAGTGATTGACCCATGTGATTACATCTCTGAGTCAGAGGATGGAGGAGGGCTTTAAAACAGAATTTGGAGGGGATATAAGCAGCTTCCAATGGGGGAAAAGTGCAGTTCTCTCTATTGGCTGTGTAGGATCATGGAATGAGGGAATGCAATTCTTCCACTATGAAAAGGGAAAAAAACCAAAACCTTTAAAAGTCCCCATTGTCTGCAGAATAAGGAAGGTCCCTCTACCAGGCCTGAATGCATAGATTTAATTTCAAGTGGTCCCAGACTAGAAATGCCACCGAGGTACCTGGAAAAAAAGTCATCTTCCTCTTGGGCCTTGAGGAATACTCGCAAAGACATTTCCAAGGACAATGAGCAGCACACAACAGGAAATAACCAACTATGGACGGAACCCAGTAAAAACCAGAAGAAAAAAGAGTTAACAAAAACAGACAAGTGAAGGGGCACTTGGGTGGCTCAGTTGGTTAAACGTCCAACTTTCAATTTCAGCTCAGGTCATGATCTCAGGGTCGTGGGATTGAGCCCTGCATCAGGCTTCACGATCAGTGGGGAATCTGCTTGAGGGCCTCCCTCCCCCTCTCCTTCTGCCCCTCCCCCCTCCAAAACAGATCAATGAACACTTCAGTTGTTTGGATTGCAGGAACAGATTATAGTCGATTTATGTTTATTATGTTTAAAGAAAATACCTGCAAAGCACAAGGGCCTAGAGAAAGTGACATGATATATTTGAAAAAGAACCAAACACAACTACTTGTAGAAATGGAAACTAGAATAAATAAAGTCAAAGATTCCAATGGTGTGGGTTAGCAGGAGATTAGAGGAAGATGAAGAGATCAGCACATTGGAAGACAGAGCTGGAGAAATGACCAGCCCATCGCACCCAGACGAGGCTCTGATCCAGGATGCTTGAGAAAAAACCCACAGTAGACATTAAGCTATGAAACAATAGAAACTTTCCCTTTCAATAAGGGAGCAAGACAAAGAAGTCTGTTATCATCATTTCTTTTCATGTAGCACCAGAAGTGCAGAAAGCCTAGGGGGAAATCAAATGGCTGTTATTCTCAGAGAATGTGAATGAAAATAAAAATAATACAAAAAGAATCTATAAATAAATTATTAGGGCTAATACAAGAGTTGGTAAATTCACCAACCCCCCAAATATATATATTTCAGTCATATTTCTGTAACAACAAGAGATATAAAACTTTATTTAAAAAGTTTATATTGTGGTGTCTAGGTGGCTCCATCAATCACACGTCTGCCTTTGGCTCAGGTCATGATCCTGGGGTCCTGGGATCGAGCTCTGCATTGGGATCCCTGCTCAACGGGGAGTCTGCTTCTCTCTTCCCCACCCCCTCAAATAAGTAAATAAAATCGTTAAAAAAATAAAATAAAAATTTTAAAAAGATGACAGTGATAATAGCATTACAAATACAAGTTTCTAGGAACTGGTCTAAAAAGAGACATACAGGGCTCCTGGGCGGCTCGGTCAGTTAAGCATCTGCCTTCGGCTCAGGTCATGATCTTAGGGTCCTGGGATCGAGCCCCACGTCAGGCTCCCTGCTCAGCAGGGAGTCTGCTTCTCCCTCTCCCTCTGCCCCTACCCTCCCTTCACTGTCTCTCTGTCTCTCTCTCAAATAAATAAATAAATAAAGTCCTAAAAAAAAAAAAAAAAGGACATTAAAGGCCTGAATGAAGGGGAAACAGTCCCAGTTCATAAATCAAAAGGCAGATTATTATAAAGATATCAATTCCCCCCCAAATGATCTGTGGCTTAATATCACCCCAGCAAAATCCCCAAGATTTGTTTCCCATGGAATAGGCCAATTCAAATATGGGGGAAGGCAAAGAACAGAGAGTATTCAAGATTCTTTAAAAAAAAAAAAAAAAAACAAAAGGTGGGGTGGGAGGACCTGCTTTACCAGATGTCAAGGTTCATTGTAAAGCTGTGGTCCCCGGGACAGGCTGGTGCGGGCCCAGGGCTCGGCACCGACCGCTGGAAAAGCCCACAGACGGACGTGAGCTCTGTCTCCACACCCTTGTCTGGGGACAGAGAGAGCTTTGTGGAGGCGAGGGGAAGGCCTAGAGGTGAGAGATAGGGCAGTGCGATTGGGTCACCCTCTCTCCACAAGGCAGGGAGTTGCTTCTGTGAACTTCGTCAAGTGACCCGCTGCCGCAGCCTCAGCTTTCCGACCTGTGCAGGAAGCAGACGGAACCAGAAAGCCAGAGGGAGCCTTTCCGGCTGTGGTTTTTCTAGGACCGCGGTGGCTGTCCACTGCCAGCAGAAATCCAGAACCCAGGTGGGCCGCACCCCTGGCAAACTTTTGATGCTTCTTCCTTTTGTCCTTCTCAAGGTGTCCTCAAAGCAGAGCACTGATGAGCACCCAGAGAGCGCCGGAATCTCCAGGTGAGTGCGAGGCTAGGGCGAGCGCATTCCCTCCGCCAGAGGCCACAGCTTCTTGTGTGGCCCCCAGGTCCCAGGTCCCAGCTCCCCTGCCCGATGCAGCTCCCTCCTTCCAGGGACGGTCCTGGCCAGGGAAGGTCCCATCCATGGAAACGTGCAGAAGCCCTACGGTCTCACGGCGGCCGTGACCTTCCCCCAGAGAGAGGCTCTGACCCAGATCATCGAGGACCTTCCCGATCTCCCTCATTCACGCAGAAACTGTGTGCTGGGGGACATCTGCCGACGATCCTTCCAGGGTTTACAGCCCAGAGGGATGGCAGATGGGGCCCCTTTAATCCTGTTACAATTTTATCAGGAAAATGCTTTTAAAACCCCGGGGAAGAGTCAGATAAGGCCCTGGGCCCAGAGACCAGACCTCCTCTGCTGAGGGCCATCCCGCATGGCTCCGGGCCTCGTGAGGGTTTCAGGGCATCAAGAGCAGCCCAGCATGAGGCTCGGCTGGGGTGACCTTGGGCCCTTGGCCTGTTCTCCCTCACCGCATCCTCCTGGGTTCCTCACCTCTGAAGGGATCACAGTGATCTACCCTGTCTCTGGTATTAAGATGTGAACAGGTGTAAAACTTCTGGTGTAACAGCTGTTTTATGACCAGTTCCCAACGGCTGCAGGGCAAGAAGCTGGCTGGTTTCCCTTAGCGACCACACGTTTGCGGGGGTCCTTCCCTGAGCAGCTTGGTCTGTTCACAAGCGCAGGCAGTGGGCTCCTGGGAGCTCAGAGAGGGAACGGGAGAGGCCGGAGGGCTCCCGGAGGAGCTGGTGATGATTCAGCTGGTTGGAAGGCCATGTGGGGGGTCGCAGAGGAGGCAAGAGGAGGGAGCACCTGGACAGCATCTCCAGCTGAGGACACTGGGTGCCGGCAGGTGGCGGTTAGCACAGGGCCCTGGAGGTCATGGAGAGCCGGAAGTTCCCCCAGGTAGAGAGGGTGCCAAGTGTCAAGCTGCGGCCACTGGCCACCGCTCTCAAGTGCGAGGAGGCTGGGACCCCGGGAAGTGGGAACACTTATACCCGCCGGCACCAGTGGATTCGGGCCCAGAGTCCTGGTCAGCACGGTGGAGAGCCCTGGTCCTCCCTCAGACCCTCCTCCCCTCCTTGTATGGTCCGGGGATGGGCTTGGCACTCGGCATCTGGGGGTGGTCTCGGGTACAAGGGGGGACACGGGGTCCCTCTGCAGTAGTTGCGCCAGGGGCCCCGGCCGGCGCTGCTGAGCTGACCCAGACGCCCGTGCCTGCGGTTCCGTGCTGGGGACCTGGGGACACGCCTGCCTGTGGGCCCCAGCTCCATGCTGGCTGAATGTTTCCACTGATTTTAAAGAGAATTAGTGTGATTTTTCCTGCTTTCGTCAACCTGAGGAGTTTAGAAGGGTTAAATTCTACCTGGAATCAATTAGCTCTTTCTTCTGCCTCTTAACCGAGGGGGCCCCTTCACTCCCTGCACACTCCAGGAGGCCACCACCCTCACCGGGGTCCGCTCCTCCCTCCCTCCCTCACCTGCTTTCATGGGAGTCTCGGCCAGGCTCCGTCAGCCCTGCTGCCCAGGGAGGAGGAGAGGGCCATGGAGGCAAGCTCCGAGGGAGGCTGGCCCACGTCCGGCTCAGGACTGGAGTGGTCTTCCTCTGATCCCCAAACTTGGGCTCTGTGGCCTCTAAGGAGAGACCCTGTATCCCGCCCCACATCTGCCGTGGTTCCCCGTCCCCCTCCCCCTGCCTGCAGGCCCTCCGTGGCCCCCACACAGCTCTCAGAGGCAGTGGCCCCCCTTCCCTCCCGGCCTCCTCCCCCAACCCCTGCTCTGCTGTCAGAACCCGGCAGAGCAGCATTTCTGGGAGAAATGTCCTAACACCTGCAGTTTACTTTGAAATACCTCCAGAAATCAGATGAAGGAGATTTGTGATAAAGTAAATACAGAAAAAAAAAAAAAAGTGTATTTACTTCATTATTGAATCTACAATTTCAAACTTTCTAGATGCTTGGAAGTCTTTGTAATAAAATGCTGAAGAGAAAAATCCTTCAAAGCCCTGTTAAAGTATCTCCCCCCAAATGCTCGCCCCCCACCCCCGTCCTTGGCAAGCTGGGATGTCCCCTCATCTGCGGGCCCCCAGCCTCCACACTCATGACCTGTAAGGCAGGAGGCGCACATGGCCGTCTGGCTCCCGGCCTCACTCTGCCTCTCGAAGGCATCGCGGACACCTGACCCATGTCTGGTCCCTCACCGTTCCAGGCACATGGTCAGGTGTCTCCCAGACGCTTGTTGGAAGAACGTTTGATGTGAACCTGGGCCATGTGGGCCTTGACCCCCCAGTCCCGATCATCCTTGATGACATCTGCAGAGGGACATGGAAGAGGCAGGGCTGAGCCGGTCGAGCAGGCTTTGAGGACAGGGCTGGCCTGACCTGAGATCTCAGGATTGGGTAACAGAAGCTGAGGGGGCATGGGGGGGAAGCTTTGTGGCTCTGGTGGCTCCTGTCCCCACTTGCCCAAGGATCTCCCAGCCCGGCTCCCTGAGTTCACAGGACGAAGTGGCCCCAGCTGTCTGACCGGCAGAGCCGTGCAGGCTCCTTCTCTAGCACGACAGAGCAGGCTGGGGGGCTCGCTGTCCCCCAACTGGCGACAGGCAGCTCTGGGCTGCAGAGCTCAGCTCTCCTCCAGATGCAGCCTGAACCGTGCCCACGCCCTCCCACCTGTGGGAGGTGCCGGGGAGGCCAAGGCCAGTGCCAGGCAACACTAGCAGGGAGCAGCCTGAGAGAAAGGGAAGTTTGGGGTACAGGGTACACCACCCAAAAGTCCCTGTGATGTCCAGAAAGTCAGAGAGGGGATGGGCCACCAGGTGCAGGCTGGAGGGAACCACTTTCTGGAGCCCGGGCACCAGGAACAGGGGTGTGGCTCTGGTCACTTTTGCCATGCCCAGTCCTGTCCTGAGCAGCTCTATTCCCCACCCCCCGCCCCCGCCCCTGCAACAGGGGTGCCGGCCCCGTGAGTAAATCAGGCAAACGGGTATCTCGACACGAAGCACACATTTGCTCAGGGCTGTGCCATGTGCGGGACTGGGTGTCACGTGCTCTCTGTGTGTTATCTTACTCATGCTCCAGAATGGACTTAGAAATACACCTCCATGTAGAGGGGAGGAAAAAACAACCCTGCTCAGAGATACAAATGCCTTGTCCAAGGTCGTAGCCCTAGTAAGTGGCCGAGCTAGGATTTGAACTCGGGCCCTGACCCTGAAACACTCCAGGGGCTGGCTTCCAGGCAGGGTACGTAAGGTCTTGGCGGACAAGGTCGTAGGCAATGAAGCAAGAGAAATAAGCAGAGGCTTGTCCTGTAAAAGAATAAGAAGTTAATCCCGGGGCAAAGGTTTTCGGGTTTTGGTTTGAGCACGGGTCAGACGTCCCCGAATGGGTAGGCCATCGTAGAGATGATGAGTTTGAAGGTAACATCTTGTCTCCTGACATCGCTGTCTGTGCTTCTGGCCCCCAGAGCCCCGGACAGTAGCCACAGGAGGCCCGGGAGGCAGTCGGGCGTCTCTGCCATCTCCTACGACTACTCGGAAGAGGAGCTGATGGCCAGCATCGAGCGGGAGTACTGTCACTGAGGCCTCCGGAGCAGCCCTGCAGGCCCCTGTCCCAGCCAGCCGGACACTGCTCCTCTGCCCCACCCCCACCAGACTGGGGTTGCACCCCCACCCCCCAGCCCTGCCCTGCCCAGGCTCTGGCTGGAGCTGAGCCCCTCCAACATGCAGCTACTCCTGGTTCTTTCAAAGATCCAGCTTCAAGCTTGCTGGCAAGGGGTGGTCAGCCGCGCAGACACCGGTGCGAAGGCAGGCGCAGGTGCGGCCCCCAGGTGAGGGCGCAGGTGCGGCCCCCAGGTGCGCGTGCAGGTGCGGCCCCCAGGTGAGGGCGCAGGTGCGGCCCCCAGGTGCGCGTGCAGGTGCTCTCCAGCTGCTCCTCTCTCAGTCTCTGGGGAGGCCTTGCCTGCGGGGTTCTCCTGGAGCCCGAAATGCTTTCCACGTCGAATGGCCCTCTCTGCTCCGGGACTGGGGCTCCTCAGTGAGAGGGGCCCGGACGGGCTCCCTTGGGGCCTCTAATATGTCCGTGATTCTGTACACGAGCTGCCTGGAGATGTGGATGTGTGAACTGGGGTTCTGTGGGTCTGGGGCGGGGCCGGAGAGTCTGCATTTCTAACCAGTCCCTGGGGGAGACCCCTGCTCCTGGACCCCAGCCTCGCTCGGGGTAGGAAGGATTAAGTCTGAGCTTTAGAACTTCTCTGACTTTTCCTTCCCGGCGCTGGGGCCGTGAGAGCCACCGCCCGCCTGGCTCCCTGGATAGAGGCCTGCTCCCCTCCTGGGCAGGTGTGATGGACGCCGCGTGCGGGGCTGCGAGCTGGAGCCCTCAGTTCTGATCCCGAGCGAGCAACCACTTCACCCCGTGGGCCTCAGTTTCCCTCTCTAGAAACTGACCCCTGGAGGCTCTTCCAGGCATAGCAGCCCCGACAACCTCGGATCAGGCAATTCCAGGATTCCTCCATCTCTGCTGTCCTGCCACCCCGTGGGGCACAGAGCTGCCGCTGCAGCTGGGGGTAGAGGGAGAACCCCAGCCCCACCTGGAGGAGGTCTTGAGAATACCTGCTCTCACCAGCCTGGTGGGACTGGTTTCCTCTCTTCCCACCCGGGAGAAGGCACAAAGTCATCGTGGTGAGGCCAAGAGAGCCCAAGAACGTCCCTGTCTGACAGATGAGGAAGCCGATTTGCCGGGGATGGCTGTGAATCCAAGACGGGGCCGGGGGAGCCAGAGGCTGACCGGAAGGCAGGACCCCTGCGGGGGCGCAGGCATGACCGGCCTTGGAAGAAGGCTCTGGCTGGCGTGCGTTCTGGGTCCAGGTGGCAGGTCCCTCTGGAGCAGCTGGGAGGGTGTCAGAACAAAGGGGCACGTGGGTGCAACGTTAGCTTTTGCCAAAGCCAGAAGGGGTCTCAACTTGTCACAGTTCCCACCTCCCTGGCGTCGCTGGCAAGACGTGAGATCTCGGGCACAGATGCAGGGCCCCTTGGCACTGTCCCCAGACCCACAGGCCTGCTGCCGTCACAGGCAAATGGGTGTTTCCATCGACTTTTATTACTTGGCAAGACAGCCTTTGGTCAGATGTTCCATCGCTGGGAGATTGGTACTGCCGAGCCAGAGGACGGTGCGTGGGGCCTTCCAACAGCCCCAGGTCCCCCCCACAGCCAGAGCTCCTCCCCATGCAAGCCCAAATCATTTCTTTTGATCAAAGATGAAAGCCATTTCTATTTTAATAATACAGATATTTCTCTTAAAAGTGGTTAATATTTTTTTTCTCACCACCAGACACATTAGGCCTTGAATCTCGTGATGTAAAATGTTTACAGTTTTACATCATTATTTTGTTAAAATGGAACATATTTGGCCAGTTTCCTGCCTTTTCCAGTGGAAACCTCACACAACCGTTCACGAGATGAAAGTGTTCAGAAAAAGAAGACGTCCCCCTGGGGCTACTACGGTCTGTGTCAGTGTCAAAGTGAGAGCCCGTCATCAAAGCAAAGCAGTTGTTCTCAGGTCTTTTTTTTTTTTTTTAATCCCCTGAATTCGGGAAAGTATCTTCTGGACAGTGGCCAGCCGAATAAACCATGTGCCCCAGCTGTGAGGTGGAAGGTGGCCAAGTAGGCCCTGTGGGGCGCTGGCCCAGGGGGCGACGGGGAAGGCCCGGGGGCCTACATGGGGTCTCAAGGCCTGTGGTGGCCACTCGCTGCTCCAGCCCTTCCTGGAGCAGCTCCGTGTGCCCCTGGGGCCCCAGCGCCCTGCTCTGGCTCCAGAGCTGAATACGGGTCTTGTTCACAGATGGGGAGGGAGGCGGCTCCACTAGGAGGAAGAGAAAGGCTTCAGGGTCGAAAGTGACAACGACACGTGTCGAGGTCTGGGACATCTGAACACCACAAGTGAGTCTCCCGGTTTCTGTGGTGGGCGCGCTCCACTGAGAGGTTGCAGAGGGCCAGGAATCCAGGAAACACACTCCGTTCCTGTCTCTGAGAAACATCGTGGCCGTTTCCCTGGGGCAGAAGCAGAGCCATACTGTCACCTCCTTCTGCCACTGGGGTTCCCAAGCCACTCCTCTCTGGCCCCCAGGCTCCCAGCCTCATCCGGCCACCCTCCTCCTCACTGTGAGATGAGCTTTCCTGAGATGGGCCAAAGTCATCATCTTTTTTTTTTTTTTAAAGATTTTATTTATTTGAGAGAGAAAGGGAGGGAGAGAGGAGGGGCAGAGGGAGAGAATCTCAAGCAGATTCCCCACTGAGCATGGAGCCCGACGCAGGCCTCAAACTCATGACCCTGAGATCACGACCTGAGCCGAAATCAAGAGTCAGATGCTTTACCAGCTGGGCCACCCAGGCGCCCCTTGATGGTCGAAAGTCTTAGAACCACTTCCCACTAGGCTGCCCATCGTGAGCTGTGCTGCCCCCCAGGGAAGCCCCCCAGAGCCTCTGTACCTCCATCTCCTGACTCCCACGGCTGTGAGCCTCCCCGCCTCCGCCAGATGCCTGGTTCAGGCGTGAGATCTGGTCTCCGCCAGGGAGGCCACGCTGTCCCCAGGGGCCGGGACACCTGTAGACATGTATTCAGTCCGGAGAGGGGAAAGGCTGTCAGAGAAGAGTAGCCATAGCCCCCCACGGAGGTCTAAGCCATGGGGGTGGCGGTCCTGCTGCTCTGGCGATAATTAGGCAGGAAGAAACCTTTCCTGGGTGCCAGGGAGAGGATAAACCACGTCAGAGGCTCTGAAGGCCCGTGCCCTCTGCTAGGAAGAAGGCGGGGTGGAATCAGCCCTTCGCCACGGGGGCATATGGACCCCCGAGGACTAATCCGACAGTAACAGATGCGTGAGGCTCTACTTTCTGTGGTGAAGTCGTCAGTATTCAGAATTGGAAAGCAAAAGCTGCCTTTTCTGTGGGGTGTGGACCCCAGGAAGGAAAGGTGACACTTATTTTAAGCCTCCGGGAGGCGGCCATCCCATGGGCACCCCGTGGAGCCGGTCGGTGTCTGGGGTGCGGCCACACGGGAGGCTGAAAGTGTGTGTGGTTTCTTGTGGCACCAAGGGCCCAGGGTGGCCCTTCCAAGACCCAGGCTTCTGCCAGCATCAGGGGGCCTGTGGCCAGGGGTCAACAGTGACACCACTGGGCAGCGAGATCACAGCAGCAGCAACAACTGTTAGGACTTCCTAGCTCAGCCCCTGGGGAGCTGCGGCTGGAAAGATCCCCATCTGGGCTCGCTAAGCCCCAAGAGATTTAGGACAATTTGTAGGGAAAGATGAGGAACCGCAGAGGGAAGGGCTGAGTTTCCTACGAATCTGACAGGAGAGGATCTGAGTGGAAAATAAAAATAACACGGCCTTATGGGCCAGGGGACCCTGGAGGGATAAAAGACAGATGTGACAGGAATGAGCCAAGACCCGTGTGAGCTCAGATGAGGGGCGGGGAGCCGCTGGGGGTCTGGGTCCTGCTGTCCACACCACTCCCTCCCTCATCCTTGGAGAACTTGGGGTAGGAAGGAGCCAGGCTGATCAGCTTCTCTCCACAGCAAGAGCTGGGAGCCTGGGGACTGGGAGAGGCCCGCGTGGAGGGCGGAGGCCCGGACTCCCGTCTTGGCCTCACTTTCCAGCGAGTGACTTGGGGATCTTAGCCTCCTCGTCTTTTCGGTGGACAGATGGCTCCTGTCCTTCCTACCGCCCGTGGTTCCTGGGAGGCCTGACCGGCCCATGGCTGGCAGGGAGCTCTGTCACTGCCAAGCCCATCCAGGTAGCAGGTGGGGGCCTGGTCCCGAGGAAGGAGACCCTGTCGGGCCACTCGGTGTAGGTGGAAGAGCTGGTCTGTGCTCCGCAGGAGGCCGGTTGGGTCTGGGCTTGGGGCCCTCGGGGTCTACCAAGAGGCAGAACTCTTCCTCAGGGACACCCCCAAGGTTACAAGTGAGGACCCACGGCTTCGAGCCCCACCCGGCTTTGCAGCCGGAGCTCTGCCTTTTCCTGGTCTTCCCTATACTAACGTTTCAGAGCTCCCCACAGCCACGTTGTCACCAGCCTGGGGAGCCTGTGCTCAGCTGTGCCCCGTGAGGCCAACCGCAGGCCCTGGCTCCCAGGGTTGGGACACTGAGCCAGCGGGGCGTGGGGCTGGGGACTCCCGCACACCGAGCCCCAGGCCCAGCCACTGTCCTGCCCCCTCCGTGAGCCCTCAGTGCTCTGAGAAGCCTCGTCCTCAAGGAGCCCGGATCTAACCATGCGGGGTCCCCCTTTGAGGAGCTGACAAAATTAGCAGCCCCGCGGCCCGAAAAGTGGGCCCACGTCCATGTGCACAGCTGCCTTCGGCTTCAGATGTGGCCACGCTCCAGGCCGGTGCGCACACGGGTGGCTTAGGGCTGCCCTCCGTGGATCTCCAGCGTCCTCTCGCTGTCTTCTCTTCCTTGGCACTCTGTCCTTTGACCCCTCACCTCCTCGGTGTCCTTGGACCCTCAGGGCCATCTCCTCAACTCAGGGACTCCCCTGGATCCTGCTTGGTTTCTCCTCCCTCGACTGTAGCCTGGAAATTTCCTTAAGGCAGCCAACGGAGGCAATCGCGGGGTTCACCCCACTCGTTTCCTGTCTCTCAGGGGTTTCTCTATAGTCCAGGTCCTTGAAAATGCTACGATCGTGATTTTGCTTGGGTGGGTTGTCCCTTGCTGTTTTAAGATTTATTTGTTTATTTGAGAGAGAGACAGAGAGAGAGAGAACGCATGGGAGGGGCAGAAGGAGAGAACTTCCAGCAGAGCCCATGCTGAGCACAGAGCCTAACTCGGGGCTCGATGTCACCACCCCGCG